GTAAGATGGAGTTGCTCTCTATAGTGGATAGGATTCCCTCTAGTTAGTATTTGCTTATTTCTTATCCGATGTGAGCGTCATTTGTTCTAGCCTTCATCATTCTTGTCAGCGGAATTTTGGATCCTTAACTATGCATGTCTTAATCTTTGTATTGGTATCTAGCTCCCGAGATCGCGAACAAACAACTCTAGAGGAGGAAGAGGGCATTTCTTCTCATTTTTCTTTGTTTTCTTTGTGTTTTTTTACAAATTTGGTTTTCATTTTTGTATCCACCTACTTTCTAACCAATTTGAGCCTTATTTCCCTTTCTTGACTTAGCCATATTAAAAACCTATCGGCCTATGTTCTACCGACCCTTGTAGTTAGTGAAGCATTGGCTTGTGAGGTTCGAGTTTGAGAGTGTTGGTTTTGAGCAAGAAAGTTGTGTAAATAGGTTCAAGTAAGGTTATGAAAGTTGGTTATGAAAAGAATATGCAAAAAGTTTGTGAAGAAGGTTGCAACACATGAAAACCAAGTGAAGTTGGAAAAGAAAAAAATGATGAAAAAATGAAATGAAAAGAAAAAAATGATGAAAAAAAAAAGATGAAAGAAATGAAAAGGGATGAAGCAATGTTGTGAGGTTTGTATTGGAGGTTGTAATTTGAGGTTAGGTTCCATTCTTAAGTTGTTCTTGAGAGATGGCCACCCTTTTGCTTCACTTAGGATTTGCCACCAAAATTTTCAAATTGATTCCCAACCTTAACCCCTAGCCATGACATTACAACCCTAGTTAAGACCCTTGGACTTGGAGGAGCGTGGTCAAAGAACGGTGGAGGGAGATAGATTTCAACTCTATGGAGAGATTATGCATAGTTGAGATGTCGGGATGACCTTATGATTCCACATAGAAATATCTTTTTCCGGTTCCCTCGAAGAATCATGAGGAGCTAACTAGGGGATGAATTGAAACTAGTGGAGAGAACTTGGGCCGTCTTGGTTGGGGCTAAGGCGGAGAGTGAGATCATTAGTTCTCTATGCTTAGCTTAGGTTTGTCTCTTTCAACACCGAGCATCTTATAACGTGTTTTCCCTCATTGAATTGAGAACGGTGAGTATTCTTTGGTGCATGTCTTTTCGTTTGAGTTCAAATGGAGCATTTTCTACCTAAGTGCTTAAGTGGTTTTCCTTAACCCTTGTCATGTTATGTTTGTTGTGACTTTCTCTTTGTTTTGGCATTCCTTGCTCGAGGACTAGCAAGAGGCAAGTGTGGGGGAAGTTGATGAGTGGCATTTATGCCACGATTAAGGTTCATTTTTATGGTCATTTCCCCACATTTTCGGCTTGTTTGCATCCTTTTCTTTGCACTTAGTTCCCTTTCCCTTTATGCATCTTCTTTCCTATATTTTGCCCCTCTTCTTACTCTTTACTTTGACCTCCATGCTTATGCTTTGTAGGAACCACCGAGGTCTTTAAGAGGAGGAAGCTAAGCTCAAGGAAAGCTGAAGGAGGCAAGATTCAGGAGAGGTTCTGTCGAACCCCCTAAAGGTGTGGTCGAACCAGGGTGTGGTCGAACCTGCTCAGTGGTCCGGCCAAACAGTTTTGGCAGTTTCAAGTGGCATTTTGGCGAATTTGCAGGAGTGGCCGAACCTCAAAAGTTCGACCAGACCAGGATCAGGGAGGTTCAACCGAACCTACCCATGGTTTGGCCGAACCTACCTTGTAGTCCGGCCGAACCTTCCCAGTGTTCGGTCGGACCACTCCTCTATTTCAGCTGGCTGTGTACGGACTATATAAGTCCCACTTTAGAATGTTTTGATGTAATTAGATTAACTTAGTTTTAATTTTCTGCATTTTTTAGCTTAATCTAGAGAGAGAAACACTATTAGTCTTCATTTGCAGAGAGAGAATGTGTAGATTTCTTCATTGATGAACTTGGATTTTGAAGAAGAAGCTTATTTAATCTTTTGTAGATCTTCAACTTCAATTAATGAGCAATCTCTTACTCTTTCTCTTTACTTTTGCATTTAATTTTTTTTGTTTACTTTAATTTTCCTTCTTGCTTATTAATCATGTTGATGCTTATTTATTTGGTGATTGATATTGTTTTCAACATGATTTGTGAGTAGTCACTTAGCCAAGGGTGTGGGGATGGTGTAGTTGCTATTTGTTCATGCTTATAGTATTGGGATTAAGTTAATTGTGATTAAAATCTTTGCATGCTTGATATTCTTTGATCTTCTTGCAAGTGCACATTGTTGGTTGATTAAAGGTGAATCTTTGCTAACAAGGAACGGAAGTTGACTTAGTTAAGGTTCATCACTATCGATTGTTCTTTGATTGCACCTCCCAATATATGGTTCTAGTGTGGAAACATAGAGGCTACGTTAGGAGAAATCGATTAACCCCGGAAGGCGGTTAGATTGGACCTTATATCGATAATCATGCATGTTTAGTTCACTATTAATTTGCTTTTATGTTATTGCATGATCAAACGGCACCTACATCTACCCGTTTCCCTTGGTGTTTAGTTATATTGATTTTAACTCGTTTTATCTTTAGTTTAATCTCTTAGTCATTCCTATCCTTTGTCCCGAGATAGCTTAAAGTCTAGTGATGAATGCGGTGTTTATGTGCTTCTCCTTGTGGTTAGACCCCTCTTCTTGCCATATACTTGTGTTAGGATAAGTCGAGTGTTATAAATTGTATTTGATTTAGGTTTAGATGTCTAACGACGCGATTATTCCTTATCACCCCTAATTCAAATGACGGAAAGAACGACTCATGCATGAACCTAAGACATAATCATGATGTACAAAGTGTGTGAATACTTGTGAGTGTAGGTGATATGCTCAAGGCTCGTGTCATGACCATGGAACTAGATTATGTAACTAAACTCAAACAAAGACTAAGTTAACACTTCACGTATGCGCACTAAACTAGACATGTTGTAGTATTTTAGTCATAACCTTTTATCTGTGACTTCAACTTGGACGAAACCAACGCCAAATGAAAAATAAAACTCGGATTTATCCTAATTAGTTTAGGAATGAGATTAAACCTTTGGACCCTCCACATGATCATTGGGTCGTAGGTAAAATCCGGTTTGGGCCCAGTTTAGTATTTTGGCCATAACTTCCTCATTATTCACTGGTATTGGGCTTATAATATATCGTAGGGAAGGTCTTTTCAAGCCCCATCCAACTACACCATTAATGGACCATTATCATGGCCGAACTAAACTGAAATAGACGTTTTCATAATAGAGTAAGAAAATAAATATTTTCGAAAACCGAAAGAGAGATATTTTAATAAATTCGGCCACACCACTAGACTTTTGACACTTCACCTCATTCGATAATCAAATGACATGAAAGTTATTCATCACTGAATTTGGTTTTTGGGAAGACACAATTAGGTGTTACAGTTACGCAGTTAACCTTTTACCCACATAGTACTTAATAAACTAATTAATAATCAGTTTAAAAATTAAAAAGACATACATCATAAATTCATTAAAATCAACACTACAATAGTTTAAAGTTATTTGTTTAGCAAAAGATACTCCAAGAGTTTAAAGCTAGTAGTTGTAGCAACACAACTATGCATGAGAATTGTTCCAAATTAACTGCCAACTTTTAATTTACAAAGATTAAAAATTTTAATTTTTTTTCCAATGTTACCGCAAAAAATTACCATTATCTATTAATGGTGCCAAGGCAATTTACAAAATTACACGTTTTTAATAAATATATTCATCTTTTACTACTTAATTAACAATGCTTTTTCTGCATGGCTGGCCACGCCGTGTGGTAGGGGTTACCTATTCATGAGTTATTTAGGGGTTACTCATTCGGTCAAGCGTTACTCAGTCGATTAACGTGTTTTTGCCGGGTTACTTAGTCGATCAGGGGTTACTTATTCCACATTTACTCAATCAATTAGTGCGTTTTTTGTGTGATAGTAACTCTTGATCGACCGAGTAACTCTTGAATAAGTAACCTTAAAATAAGTAACCTTGACCAAACAAGTAACCCTGACCAAACAAGTAACCTTTGAATAAGTGACCCCAACACATGGTGTGGCCAGCCACATAAAAAAAATATTGTGCTGAATTATTAATAGGTTAAGCGTATCAGGTTCGAGTTAACGGGTTGTCGTCCTATCAACTAATACAATCGGGTTAAGCATGTCAATTTCGGGTTGCCCGTTTAATGTCATGTCAAGTTCGTGTCTATCCCATTATGTAAACGAGTCGAGAATTTTTTACACAAACCCGCTTATTTCGTGTCGGGTTATTGTGTTTCGTTTCAGTTTTAACAACCTAGAAATTAGTTTGAGGAAATAAAATAGAGTAAAGGGATTAGGACCATTGGTTATTAGGATATTATTAAAAAAAATTTAGAGAAAATCATATTACTTCGTATGTCCTTAAATATAGTTCCTATTTGACTTATTTGGGGGTAAAACTTTATAAACTTTGATTATTAATTTTCGTAAGTTTATAAAAGATATATGTTTCTATGCAATCTTGTTTTTGGTGTTTATCAAATTGTATATTTAATTATCAAGTTTTTATAATATTTACGTGTATAAAAATAGAGATAAAAACATTTTAAGACACGTCTTGGAGAATATGAAAAGTCAAACGAGAACTTATTTAGGGACAAAGAGAGTAAAATATAGAAAAAAGTTAATAAAAATAAAATATTTTCTTTATTTAAACACGACCAAAAAGAAATACATTTCATATATTAAACACGAAGGAAGTATAATTTAAAGGTTAAGTTTAACAACAGTGGCTAGGTTGTACAATTATGAATGTTAAAGAATAATTATGTGGAGATGGTAGCTAATTAAAGTTTAATTTTATAATGTTTAAATTTTCTTTTGTTTTTTAAAAAAAAGTCAACCAAACAAGTCCTTAATGAATTTTTCAAATTAAAATGTGTTCCAGGACTTACATTTATCAGTCACATATCATTATATCAACGATCAAGATTTATTTGTGAAGGTAATCAACTATAGCTTAAATGTAGTCGACTACTCATAACCATTGGGATTTGAGGTGATACCAAGAATAATATAATACTGCAAATTATTTTGCAAAATTTATACACATCTATCATTAGTTTCATTCATTAACAAAACTACATTTAACATGTATTCTATTTTTCCGAAAACCTGTAGTGTAAATAATATACAAAAATTAATATACATGAATAATACTTGGGCTATAAGCCCTGCTCTATTACTGTTAAATGACAATTGTTTCTCTCACCATCCTTTTGTCAGGTCGACTTAAAAAATAAAGTTGTCACCCCCAACACATCTGGAAACATGAATTGCTTTGTTTCTGTAAAGCCCTGTAGTTCCACATAAAAATGTGTTAATAGCCAGACATTATAAACATGATGACGAGGAGAGGCGTGAAGATGTACGTAGTCTTATACCTAGTCAGTCAAGGTAACGTAGGAATGATACAGATACGGGATACAACATACAGAAACAGCAAGAACAGAAACAATGGAAATAGCTGAAAAATGAACAGGCCATTTTGAGTGACCTAAAGGAAAAAAATTAACTTGCAAATGTTTGAAGTCAAAGCATAATTCAAAATTCAACTGGTATGCTACTAATTTTAAGCACAGAAATATGACTGGGGTACACTGTAAGTCTCACAGTTTGTATCCTTAAGGACATGTACAATTTAACACTTCACCAGGTACACAACAGCTAAGGAATAATATATACAAGCTCTTTCAATCCAATGAAAGCTGAAGGTACCTGGTGAGGCACATGAAGCCACAGGGACCTTAGTAAATTACCAGACCTAAACACAGCAAAAATAATAATAGGACTTTGGATTACCAAAACAGCAGGGTCACCAAATGAATTTTCCTATCACTCAAGGACACTAGGTAATACCCGGAAAAAAAAAAAAACAAAAATAAGTATAATAATATTATCAGTCAACGAATCTAGGAAATGTATCTGTGCAAGATTCTCCATGCAGACTAGGTTGAAATGTTAAGACTGTATAGACTAATGAATATACTAGATTGTGGTATTTGTGGACATAAGATGCTGCTTGATATGGACAGACTCATGTCAAACATTTCATACATGCATGTCTTGTTCACAAAACATCTGGAGAAATAAAAATAACAAATTTCGCACACAAATTATTTTACCAAGCTTACCGTGGCAAATTACTTGGGTCTGTTCTACAACTAAGTGGAATTATGTTTTTAAGCAGGCGGTAAGGATCGACGACATGTTGGACATTCCATTTTTATGTCCATCCACCTCTGTAAACATCCAGAATGGAAGAAATGATCACAAGGGGTCACCTGCAAAACGAAAATCCTTCTTTTGTTATGCCCATTCATAAATATGTAAACACCTTGACTCAACTGAACATAAACTTTACCATGCAGTCATTAGAGTGCTCAGAGAGATCAATGGCAGTCATGCAAATGACACAATCAGTGGTACGATTTGTATCTTGACTGAAACGTCTATAGTAACTGTACTTCTCAGGTAGGATCTGTCGTCACATAGAAAGTATTCTGATCAAACTAGTAAGCATGAATTACAAATAATTATAAAGACAAAATAATAAAACCCAAATTAGAAACTAATCCCAAGATGTAGAAAATCATCAAATGTCCAGTACCAATCTCCATCCTCACTATGATAATATTTTCAAAGACATGATCACTCCATGGAGCTGCAGAAAGTAGGAGATGTGAGCTATATGAAAATTATTTGTGGAACATTTGACACTCCACTGTTTTTTTTTTTTTTTAAATAAAACCACATTTTTATTTCAGAAATTCCCAAAATAATAAGCTAATTTCTTAATTTAGGGACCTAAACAAATAGTCCAGTTTCTAAAGTAAGAAAAAAAAAAATTATATATATATATATATATATATATATATATATATATATATCCCAAGTTATCATTATATCTTTGTCTCAAAAATCTGAAAGGGGGTGGTGATGTAAAATTGAACTAGAAAATTGTTTTTGCAATGGTCCTAAAAATGACCTCCAATGAAATATTGCATTCTTTTGGGTAGACAACACAGAAACTTTCCCTTTACAACATGGCAGGTCAATTTGCAATGTACTGAAGAATCAGTTCTAATTTACCAACGTCAAACAGAAGATTGTAGATTGGCACTTTGCTGAAAGTAATAATCTTTCTATTGCTTGACCTATGGTGGCTTTAGAGGTGACTTATTGTGTTGCCTTATAGAGAGCTGCTAAAATTCCAAAATATATGTTATAGGATCTCTGCAATTCAATTCAGAAATGCAAGGAAAATTTGGTTCTACAGCAGTCACTAAATCAGTCAAACAGAACAAAATTTCATACATGTGTTTGTAGGGTTGTACCTCTAAAGAGTCTGGTAAGCAGAGTCTAGGACTAGAGGGTGATGGCGGATAAAGTATTCATATCAAATTTTGGTTTTTGTTTGGCTCTTTGCCTTGAGATAATTGCACTTGCAAGAGTTTTAGATCTAGTGTGGCAGCTTGGTTTTAAATAGGTATAGTTAAGATGGATAGGGACAATGCAATTAGATTATGAATCATGGAAAACCATTGCTGAGAAGGGAAGAATGGACTATCTTGACAAAACAATCTTTCTGAGAAGCCAACAAAGCTGATGATTGGTTGGCTAGAAAAAAAGAGTTGTGCAACAGAGAATTCTACTCCTCATCGGCAAACACTTTTGTGCTGAGGTTCTACTCCTGAACTAGCAAAGATTATTGAAGAAGGCTTTGCTCCTCATTCACAACAAAAACAGCGAAAACAAGAGTCGGATCAAATGCATAAAATGGTTCATAATGCACCACAACATATTCTGGGCCTAGTCTATTATTAGATTAATCAAGATAAAGAGAAACATATGCTAGCACAATTCATCAAAAACAATAATTTTGTAACAAAAGAACAATATATATTTCAAGTTTTTGAGCACATAGAAGTCAAATGACTCAACTAGGTAGTATATTATTTATATCTAATAATTTGACACAGAGATTGTAAACGTAGGAATTTCCAGGCCAAAGCTAAATCAGAATTCAGCAGAACCAATTACTATAAGTACTAATCCAGCTTAAAAATGGAAATTATCATTGAATTGAATCAGAAATGCAGCCTAAGATACTGCCTGCTCCCTGTTAACAGGTGGTTTTTCTTTCATTATACTCCTTTGCTATTGGGAAAGGGAAGAGTTGAAATTGATAGGTATTTGGGCTATCTTGATCTACAGAAAGGAATGTCACCTAACATATATGCACAAAAGGACTCGCAGAAATCACCACATAAAAAATAGATGTGTATCAAACCTGACGGGGTATAAAACATCGTGAACCAAGGTAGTGTTGAAGTAGAAGGACCAGAGCCTGAAGCCCCATGAATGAGCACAAGCATATACACCAGTTCTTATCAGGCCCAATTCGCATAAAGTTGTTAGGGCAGCCAAATACATACAATGGAATTGCTAATCGAGTAATGGTCATGCCTAAGATGTAATGTGGGTGAAGTGGTTTTCTTGAATCACGAATGACGTTGGTAACAATTTGAGGTATCCAAAAAGAATACATAAGCAGAAGGATAACTCGCAGAAAATTATGGAATTCGTACATAATCAGAATGCCTCCCAACAATATACCATCTGCAAACAATGTATGAAAATTGAATTAGCCATCAAAAGCTGACCAACATCGACAACATATTCATACAATTCCCCTCCCCCTCTCCCTATCACCAAGAGAGAGAGAGAGAGAGAGAGAGAGAGAGAATAGTAGTAGTAGTAGCAATAAAATATTACTCCCTCAGTCCCTTTTTGTTTGCTCCATGGACCACTTGTTTGTGAGAGCTTTATGAGTCATATGTAGGGGTGTACATAAACAGGACCGGACCTGAAAACCGACCTGAACCGGACCTGTTGGGACCGGACCTGTAGATTCAGGTCCGGTCCCGGTCCTTGAAATTCAAGGTTTCCGGTTCCGGTCCGGATCAGGTCCAAAACCGGGGTTTTCAGGTCCGGACCTGAAACCCGGATTTTTTATATAATATATATATAAAAAAAATATAAAAGCCTAAAAAACCTAATACTTCAACTATTCAGCAACGCCTCTTCTCCTCTCACCTTTTCTCTTATCCTTTCTGATTCTCAGTATCCCCTCTTCCTCTCTAATTCTCAATCTCCCCTCTTCCTCTCTGATTCTCAATCTCACCCTTTCTTTCTGGTTCTCAACGACTCCTCTTCCTCTCCTCTTCTCTCTTCCTGGCTCCAGCATCGTGGGATTGGAGCACCGTCGTCCAACATCGAGGCCCCGTCGTCCACCATCTGCCGTCACCAGAGTTTGTTTATACTTTAGTTTTAGTTGAATATAGGTTAGTATGTAGATCTAGTTTTATTTTTCACATAATTTACGATTATAATTATCTTTTTAATGAAATTGTAATGTAAAATTATAAATTTTGTAATTTAAGTTTGTAGATCTATTTTTTCGAAATTTCTGTTTTTTTTTTTCTCGGATTTTCTGACAATTTATGTATAATTTGTTTTTTGCGATTTTTTTGTTCGTTTTTTTGTTTTTTGTTCGGATGTTGGATGTATGTGTGGAATCGATTTGGGTTTTTTTCTTTTTCTTTTGTTTTTCTGGGTTGTGGGTGCGGTGGATGCCTGACGGTGGTGGGTTTTTTTTTCAATTTTTTCGTTTTTCTGGGTTATGGGTGGATATCAATGGGTCTGGGTTGTTGGGGTTATGGTGTCTGGGTTAAGGGGGTTAAGGTGGTTAAGGGGTGAGTTGGGGTAGGTGGTAGAAGGAAAGAAGCTTGTGGTGGTGGGCTGTGCGTAGGGGTGTATGTATTAGTGGTGGTGGGTTGTTCGTAGGAGGTTGTTGATGATAGTTTTTAGTCAAAACTTGGCTTGAATAAAGAAAAAAAAAGGGAAAATACAAATTCAGGTCTGTTCAGGTCTAAACCCGGACCGAACCTGAATTTTCAGGTCTGACCCGAAACCGGACCTGTTGATTCAGGTCCGGTCTCCGGTCCTCAAAATTCTCTAATTCAGGTCCCCGGTCCAAACAGGTCCGGTCCAGGTCCGGTCCGGTTTTGGACCGGTGTACACCCCTAGTCATATGGGGCAAAAAACAAGGGACAGAGGGAGTAAATACTAGGATACATGCAAGGTATAACTATAAAAGGGAATTAGAAGATTAACATTCTCGGGTGCAAGCCATTACGAATTACACACACAGCTATACCCCACAATAACTACTACAAAATAAATTCTGGAAATAAAACTGAAAGTGAACACCATACTAGTTACAGGCATGCAAAAAAGGGGATAAAAATACACATACAAGCACACACACAAAAAAAACCTATGTCTGGATCAAATAGAAACGCAGGATAAACAGATACTTCAGGACAATCTGAAGCCAAATTTAGGCATGCCTGACAGAAATAGAACAGATAGTTAACACCGTACTAGCTACGGCAGAATAAAGGTAAAGATACAAGACCAACTAAAGGGAAACTGTAAAAGCCCTATATCAGAAACTTGGAGAACATCATTTGCCAAAAGTGGAAGCAAATTAAGGGAAAGGATAGAAAGCAACAGAAGCTGCTGGAAATTAGAAAAAGCAAGATAGCACATAGTATTCAGACTTCAAAGATGAACAAGGTCAGGGTCAAAAGCAAAGCAATGCAAAAAATCAACCTTTTTAAGCTTATTTCTCAAGAATAAGTTTCTTTTAAATAAAATAACAATAAAAATATTTATTATTTTTTTAAAAAAAAGGAAAAACTCAACAATGTACAGTATGAAAAAAGACACTCACAAAATCGGCTGTACAGTAGTGATAGTTCACGTCTCATGGCTTCCCAGCCTTCGCCACTGTTTGCCGGTCTACTTGCCTTCCATATTGCCAAGAGATAACGCATCTCAAATATAGAGAACACAACAAACTTGAAGAAGGCAGCAGTTGCAAAAGCATTAAACAGGGATTCTGAGTGCACAAGGAAAACAGAGTTAAAATCTTAAACACAACGAAAAATATTAACAACACTCGTGATGAATTTTAGGTTGATAGCATACCACAAAATCGCAAAAGAATAAAATACAAAATAACAATCACAATCGCTTTATAACATTGAATTAAGATATAAAGACTAACAGCATACAAGAGGAGTATACAACGAGATTCCATCACATGAATTTTAGGTTGATAGCATACCAAAAGATTGCATTCTTTATGACATTGTCCTCTTTTCAAGAGGAGTATACTGGAAGGCATAAATCGTGAATCATGTGATTGCTGTTAGTCTTTATATGCTTAATTCAGTGTTACATGAAAAGCATACATTGAATTAAGCATATAAAGACTAACACCAATCACATGATTCACAATTTATGCCTTCCATCATTGTATACTCCTCTTGAAAAGAGAACAATGTCATAAAGAATGCAATCTAAAACCATGACTGGAAAAGTGTTAGCTGCTTTGACAACATCCTGCTGACATGGGACACAGTTCAGCATAATACATCCAGATAATTAAATGAAGTATTTTAACTTTTCATGATTTTTAATGTAGTCAAATAATGATTTGAATTTCTAGCCAACACAAGCATGAATCCCACTCCCACATGAAAATAGTTGGGGCAGCCAAGAAAGTAGAGGAAGGAAAGCAATGGGAATCCAATGTATAAAAAATTAAAAAGGCTCAAGGCGCAATGAGGTGATGAAGCTCCTGATGCGCCTATTTGAAGTGAGGTGCACCATGTAACACAATTAAGGAAATTTGCATATGTGTGACTCAGGTGCACCTACTTATATGTGCCTCACCTAGAGCAAAAAAGGGCGCTCTACCCTAACCGCCTAGCTCCTCAGTGCCTAGGCGCACCTTTTTATACACTGGGAAATCAGAAGCAAATGATCAACAATCAGCAGCTGTAACTAGTAGCCATGGAAGAAAAGTTGTGTCGACTTCACACTTATTCGCCTTATCAATTTATATTATATATATATATATATATATATATATATATATATATATATATATATATATATATATATATATATATTTTTGGGGGGGGGGGGATAACAAAGTTAGCCCAAACCTCTCATAAATGTGCCCACACTCATTTCACAAGAACCAAAGAGCCAGATCCAAATTAGGTTCGCCCAAACTAGTTAAAAATTCGTCCAAACCAGCCCTTCATTCAAGCACACTTCTTTAAAGCCTTGGAAATTTGGGGGTTTTGCCTAATCAACCAAACCCAAAAAAAATTTAAAATTTGCCGGATGTACAATGTTTTATTGTCAATTAATTGTAAAGTTACCCTAATATGATCAAAAGTTACCCAAATATTCATAAAAGATACCTAAATTTTTATTGATTAAGTTTCCCTCTTTACAGGAGAAAAAATAAATCCGAGTGTGTTAATGTTAGTGTTAGTATATCATCCTTATACTCCCTCCGTTATGAGTTACTCGCAACAAAGGACACTTTTGCGGTTCCCAATTCAAAAGATGTTAAACATAGTTAATGAAAAATAAGGGCATATACTTAGCTAAACTTTTAAAAAATCGGGTGTACAATAATTATTGTACATCCATTATAAAGATAGCTTAAAGTGATTAAAAGTTACCTCTGAAATGAATAAAAATTACACCAATATGCGTAAAAGTAACCCAATTCAAATAAAAATTATCAACACTTTATTAGTAAAGAATCACATTTTAAATGGCTAAAAATCAATTATTAATGATTGAATGTAATTAAATTACCTTTATAAAACTTTTCTTGTTATCTATATATATAAAAATTGAATTATGTTTAAAGTTACCCAAAAACAATCAAAAAGTTACCCTAAAATTAGCTAAAAGTTACCCTTATACAGCTCGATGTACCTAATATTAGTGTAAACCGGATGTATACAAAAGTTTTTGATATACTTAAGCATTAATCCAACCCAAAAAATAAAATAAAAAAATTCAAAATTCACACCCCCACAACCGTCAAGCACCATGAATTCACGAACTACCACCACTATTACCACCACCTATCACCACCACCTAGCAGCACGAAACCACCCAGCAGCGCGAACCCACCACCATCACAAGATTCGAAGCCACCACAAGATAGATTTGAACCCACCACCACAAGATTCGAACCACAATCCACCACCACCAGATTCGAACCACAATCCACCACCACCAGATTCGAACCCACTAACCACCACCACCAGATTCGAACCCACTAACCACCACCCACGAACCCAAAACACTACAAACCACAACCCACGAACCCAGATTCAAGCCCACACACCCATAACCAAAAACCCACAAACCCATAACCAAAAACCCACAACCTACAAACCCTAACCCTAACCAACGGACCAGCGAACCCACGAAGCCAACGAACCCCCAGAAAACTAGGAGAATGGAGTTAGAGGAGAGAAAAAAATAATGGGGATGAGGAAGAAGATGAATAAATTTAATGATGATGATGATGAAATTTAACGATGAAGGTGGTTGGGAACTTTGGATGATGATGAATATAGATGGAGGATGAATGATTTTGGTGGAAATGATTAAGTTAATCAATGATTAGGTTTAAGGTAATAAGATAAAATCGGTAGTTTAATTAGGATGTTTAAAAAAAAAATTAAGGCTCATTTGGTCAATTTACACAAAACAACTTACCAAAAAAGGAAAGAAAAAAGTTTGTTGCAAGTAATGTGTACCGGCCATTTTTAATAATTGTTGCGAGTAATTCGTAACGGAGGGAGTAATACTTATCCCGCGGTCTATTTAAATTTAAATTATCACGATTAAAGTTACCCTAAATTTTTATAAACATTACCCTTAGTTTGTTTAACTTTTACCTTAAAATTGTTCAATGTACACTACAATAAAGTTATTGTACACCTGTTACACACAAAAACTTTTGAACGAACAAACCCATAGTTCACTAGATTTTAACCCTAAATTCGGTAAAACCTACCCTCTGTTCATACAAACTTTCTTTACAAGATACTACTTAAACCTTATGACTTCCCTTGTCATAAAGTTTTTTGGATCTTTATTATTTGTCAGATTAATTTTGCCACATCGCTTGACATGAGCCACAATAATTGAGAGTATTACTAGGATTGGTGATGATGCAATTACAGGCATTGATTCTGAGCTGCAAGAATTTAACAAGAGAGCAACTGAGGTGGAGCAGAATGAGCTGGAAAGTAATGGCAAGGGAGCAGCTGAAAAAGAAAGAAGAAAAGGACTGGCAGCTGTCGGAGAGAAGGGGATAAGCACTGAAGAATAATTCTAAGGATAATATTGAAAACTGTAATTTGTTTGCTAGCTAAATTATTCTATTTTCTAGTCGTTATGTTAATTTGTCTTTTGTAAGCTGAGCTCAGCAGTAGTCCTCAAGGCTATATAAGCCAAAACTATTGTAAGAATTAGTCATGCTTAATGAATGAATGAAATCCTCTCCTCTTTTCTCTAAATATTTGCTAGGAATTAGCATGGTTTCTAACCAGATTACAGCTCTAAATATGGCAGAAATTAGGGAAGAACAATGATGACTATATTGATAATAGGCGAATTACACTGATAGAAGGATAATTCCACTTTTGAGAGGTGGATTCTCTCCTAATATGAGCTTTCGAGAGGCTCACTCTCTCCCAATGACATAACCTCAACAATATTCAACATGATGATTCTTCCTCCTAATGAGGTCTATTTATAGAAAATACCCCTAACAAACCTCTAGCTTACTCCCCAAGTTACTACTAATAGACTATGACTAATGTGCCCTTCCCCTAAATATTGATTCCTTGCATTACCCGCCGCTCAAACTTTCACCTTGTCCTCAAGGTGGTTTATAATCGGAACTGGATTCCCGGCCTCTGACCCAGCTCTTAAATAAGACAAAGGCGAGAGAAAACTGCACTAAGAATTCCTGATCATTGTTGAAAATTCGTGCTCCCTCTTGTGAACCTTCTATGGCAGGAAAATCTGAATACTTTATCAGCATGTCATGAGAGCAGAGCATTGAATTTTGGGTAGAGTTGGTCTTCGTGGACTTGGGATTTGTTGGCTGTGGGTAGGGGAAATTGCAATGAACAATTTGGGTGATGAATTTGGGTTTTAAAACTGATGTTGGATGGATGGGCCTAAATTTACCAAACCCAACATCGGAAGAGTTTAATTTGTAAGTCACTCCAAAGGATGATAGGTTGGGCTTTAAATGAGTAAGCCCATTCATTCTCAGAAACCCACTATGGCAATCTATTCTGTCTGAAGCACGTGAGAGCTGGCTGATAAATTTTGCAATATCTTCAAGGTGTATTACTATAATACCCTTACTAGAACTTTTCATTTTTGACTTCCTCTCCAAGCCAACAAAAGATCCACTCAAGCTTCTCCCAAACTCTTCTCTTTCTAAAGATTTCTGGAAACCACCAAGCAACCACCCTTGAAGTTTTCCACCAGCGAATCCGCCGCTCACAAAGAGCCTTCTACCGACCAAGCCACCGCCGGAAAACCCGCTAGAGAAATCACCATTCCTCACCCCACTACTCAAAACAACGTTCATACTTTCTGGCCCACACTCACTGCTCCAACAACCTACCACACCACCTGTCTTGCCGGCATAAAAACCAGGGCCACCACCAGACCCGCTTCCTCCAGCACCACCTCGCTCAAACACTCCTCCTAGCGATTTCCTTTCGAGACAATTACATTTCTCACTCGAACTATTGCCGGCGACACCCCCTTGAGCACTGCCATTCCGTCCTCCAAATCTTCCGGTGGTGAAACCATCTTCACCACCGCTGAGACCTCCTTGGTAAAACACTCAAAAATTTTCCAGATCCATTTGTCTCAGCACCACAGACCAAGCTTCCGGACTTATAAGTCCACCGCCTGAGTGCTCCACCATCGCGCTACCGGAGAAGGTGCGAACCACGGAGTAAAAGTACCGGACAGATCTGGAAA